AACAGTAAGTCTTGAAGTTAGTCTCACTCAAAAACTTCTTCTGGAGAGTGGTTTTATCCAGAAAGCTGCGATATAGCAATGAGAAGAACTGGCTCTGGCTGAAGCAAAGTACTGCCTGCCGCCTTTCCCATTTCGAAGAAAACCGCCCACGGAAAAAACCCATTTAAATTAGCAGCTACGATTCAAAGACGACCAAGCGAGGATCTAGCGATCATGCTTCACGCCGGTGGCACTCGATTCTATTTTTAGATGTCATCCAGTGTAGACTTTCTGAGCCTAGCGCCTGTCAAGTACTCTGAACAGTGCTGGGCAAAGAGAAATCCAACCTCATGAATAAAATAGCCTTGCTGGGCACTACACTACACTACACTACACTACACTACACTATACTACACTACACTACACTACACTACACTACACTACACTACACTACACTGCCCTAACACTACACATACTGGTCTGTGCACTACACTGCCCTAACACTACACATACTGGTCTGTGCACTACACTGCCCTAACACTACACATACTGGTCTGTGCACTACACTGCCCTAACACTACACATACTGGTCTGTGCACTACACTGCCCTAACACTACACATACTGGTCTGTGCACTACACTGCCCTAACACTACACATACTGGTCTGTGCACTACACTTCCCTTAAACTACGCATACTGGTCTGTGCACTACACTGCCCTAACACAACATATACTGGTCTGTGCACTACACTGCCCTAACACTACACATACTGGTCTGTGCACTACACTGCCCTAACACAACATATACTGGTCTGTGCACTACACTGCCCTAACACTACACATACTGGTCTGTGCACTACACTGCCCTAACACTACACATACTGGTCTGTGCACTACACTGCCCTAACACTACACATACTGGTCTGTGCACTACACTGCCCTAACACAACATATACTGGTCTGTGCACTACACTGCCCTAACACTACACATACTGGTCTGTGCACTACACTGCCCTTGGCCTAACACTACACATACTGGTCTGTGCACTACACTGCCCTAACACTACACATACTGGTCTGTGCACTACACTGCCCTAACACTACACATACTGGTCTGTGCACTACACTGCCCTAACAATACACATACTGGTCTGTACACTACACTGCACTAACACTACACATACTGGTCTGTGCACTACACTGCCCTAACACTACACATACTGGTCTGTGCACTACACTGCCCTAACACTACACATACTGGTCTGTGCACTACACTGCCCTAACACTACACATACTGGTCTGTGCACTACACTGCCCTAGCACTACACATACTGGTCTGTGCACTACACTGCCCTAACACTACACATACTGGTCTGTGCACTACACTGCCCTAACACTACAGTCTACACATACTGGTCTGTGCACTACACTGCCCTAACACTACACATACTGGTCTGTGCACTACACTGCCCTACCACTACACATACTGGTCTGTGCACTACACTGCCCTAACACTACACATACTGGTCTGTGCACTACACTGCCCTAACACTACACATACTGGTCTGTGCACTACACTGCCCTAACACTACACATTCTGGTCTCTGCACTACACTGCTCTAGCACTACACATACTGGTCTGTGCACTACACTGCCCTAACACTACACATACTGGTCTGTACACTACACTGCCCTAACACTACACATACTGGTCTGTGCACTACACTGCCCTAGCACTACACATACTGGTCTGTGCACTACACTGCCCTAACACTACACATACTGGTCTGTACACTACACTGCCCTAACACTACACATACTAGTCTGTGCACTACACTGCCCTAACACTACACATACTGGTCTGTGCACTACACTGCCCTAACACTACACATACTGGTCTGTGCACTACACTGCCCTAGCACTACACATACTGGTCTGTGCACTACACTGCCCTAACACTACACATACTGGTCTGTGCACTACACTGCCCTAACACTACACATACTGGTCTGTGCACTACACTGCCCTAGCACTACACATACTGGTCTGTGCACTACACTGCCCTAACACTACACATACTGGTCTGTGCACTACACTGCCCTAACACTACACATACTGGTCTGTACACTACACTGCCCTAACACTACACATACTGGTCTGTGCACTACACTGCCCTAACACTACACATACTGGTCTGTGCACTACACTTCCCTTAAACTACGCATACTGGTCTGTGCACTACACTGCCCTAACACAACATATACTGGTCTGTGCACTACACTGCCCTAACACTACACATACTGGTCTGTGCACTACACTGCCCTAACACAACATATACTGGTCTGTGCACTACACTGCCCTAACACTACACATACTGGTCTGTGCACTACACTGCCCTAACACTACACATACTGGTCTGTGCACTACACTGCCCTAACACTACACATACTGGTCTGTGCACTACACTGCCCTAACACAACATATACTGGTCTGTGCACTACACTGCCCTAACACTACACATACTGGTCTGTGCACTACACTGCCCTTGGCCTAACACTACACATACTGGTCTGTGCACTACACTGCCCTAACACTACACATACTGGTCTGTGCACTACACTGCCCTAACACTACACATACTGGTCTGTGCACTACACTGCCCTAACAATACACATACTGGTCTGTACACTACACTGCACTAACACTACACATACTGGTCTGTGCACTACACTGCCCTAACACTACACAAACTGGTCTGTGCACTACACTGCCCTAACACTACACATACTGGTCTGTGCACTACACTGCCCTAACACTACACATACTGGTCTGTGCACTACACTGCCCTAGCACTACACATACTGGTCTGTGCACTACACTGCCCTAACACTACACATACTGGTCTGTGCACTACACTGCCCTAACACTACAGTCTACACATACTGGTCTGTGCACTACACTGCCCTAACACTACACATACTGGTCTGTGCACTACACTGCCCTACCACTACACATACTGGTCTGTGCACTACACTGCCCTAACACTACACATACTGGTCTGTGCAGAACACTGCCCTAACACTACACATACTGGTCTGTGCACTACACTGCACTAACACTACACATACTGGTCTGTGCACTACACTGCCCTAACACTACACATACTGGTCTGTGCACTACACTGCCCTAACACTACACATACTGGTCTGTGCACTACACTGCCCTAACACTACACATTCTGGTCTCTGCACTACACTGCCCTAGCACTACACATACTGGTCTGTGCACTACACTGCCCTAACACTACACATACTGGTCTGTACACTACACTGCCCTAACACTACACATACTGGTCTGTGCACTACACTGCCCTAGCACTACACATACTGGTCTGTGCACTACACTGCCCTAACACTACACATACTGGTCTGTACACTACACTGCCCTAACACTACACATACTGGTCTGTGCACTACACTGCCCTAACACTACACATACTGGTCTGTGCACTACACTGCCCTAACACTACACATACTGGTCTGTGCACTACACTGCCCTAGCACTACACATACTGGTCTGTGCACTACACTGCCCTAACACTACACATACTGGTCTGTGCACTACACTGCCCTAACACTACACATACTGGTCTGTACACTACACTGCCCTAACACTACACATACTGGTCTGTGCACTACACTGCCCTAACACTACACATACTGGTCTGTGCACTACACTGCCCTAACACTACACATACTGGTCTGTGCACTACACTGCCCTAACACTACACATACTGGTCTGTGCACTACACTGCCCTAACACTACACATACTGGTCTGTGCACTACACTGCCCTAACACTACACATACTGGTCTGTGCACTACACTGCCCTAACACTACACATACTGGTCTGTGCACTCGAACGCGGCGATACTCTATTCATGAGGTTGGATTTCTCTGCTGGTCAGCACTGTACATGACAACAGAACCCACTGCAGGGTCAGCTCTGACTACGATCGAGCTGTTTGCATGAATAGTACTGATTGATCTGCATGCTTCTCTGATTGATCTGCATGCTTCTCGCCTGCACGTGCAAACATGTTCACTGAGTTTGGGCCCTACATCCGCCAAAAGGTTTGGGTGACCTGGCGCCGCCCTTGCCCCCCCCCCCCCCACTTCCTACGCCACTGGCATGTACATGTGTGTGTATTTGTGCTTGTGTGTGGGTGTGTGGGTGTGCCCCGCCCGTATCGCCCTACAGTGACTGATCGCCAGCACTTTGAAGCAATGCCTACCTCTCCCCTAACCTCTCTGACAGCACCTCCCTTCGGGGAGCGGCGTGGCCATTTCTGGCAGATGTCAATAGTAGTAGTGTGTGTGTGTGTGCGTGCGTGCGTGTGTGTCTCATATGGTGCAGTTCTAAGTGCAGTCGATTTCCGATCGAGATGTGGCGGGTTCGATTCACAAAGACTATGGTCACACACGTCTTTTTTTCTTTTTGTCAGACTCCTCTTGACTTTTCTTTCATTCTGCTGCGTGGTAACCACCAGTGCATGCCGGAGTATGCGGTGTGATGTTTGTGTGGGATTGAAATGAAGAAAAAAAGATCAAAAAGTAGGTATTCACCAGCCAGAAAAGCCACTTTAAATAACTGTGTGGTGTAGACCAGGCTGAATAGCGGAGTTAAAATCTTCAGCCTTGCAAGCTATTGAATGGTGCAGTCCCAGTTCAAGTTCCTATGGCTTCTGCTGTATGCAACGCTATCATGACCTCCAGCGTCAAAAGGTCAAAAAGTCAAAAGGCAAGTGTTTGTGCATCTGTGTGTGCATATGCATGTGTGTGTGTGTGCATATGCATGTGTGTGTGTGTGTGTGTGTGTGTGTGTGTGTGTGTGTGTGTGTGTGTGTGTGTGTGTGTGTGTGCACACGTGAGGGAGCATGCGTGTGTCTGGGTATGTATGGGTATGGGTATGGGGTGTGTGTGCGTGTGTGATTGTGCCTATTTGCATGATCTACATGTAGGTGTTTGAGAAAGGTGGAAGGCAGTTGAACAAGTTTGGTACTAAAGGAAGTGGACCAGAAGAGTTCAACCACCCACGGGGTATTATCTCGTCCAACGGCAGATTGCTGGTTGTGGATGAGATGAATCACCGTATCCAGGTTAGGCTATTGTTCTAGTAGGATGTCCATGGCATAATGTGTGTATATAATATGTGTGTGTGTGTGTTTGTGTACGTTTGTGTGTTTATGTGGGTGAGTTTATTTGCCTTTTTGTGTGTGTATAGATTCTTGGTTGGAGAAAAGCAATTCAGCCCACGAATCACAGAAGCCATACAGTTTCGAGTCTTTCGACTAGGCCTTTCGTAACACTACTTTTCAAGTCGAATACAATGGTGATAAGCAAGGTAGCAAGCATGTCCTTATAGCCAGCACTTTGGCGGTCAGAACATTAACAAAATAGCTTTTTACTACAAGATAACTACATGTTGACCGGTCAGAGCATTGACTAAATAGCACTTTAAGAGATAGAGCTAGAAGCACCAAAGCACGTAGAGAAAATTAATAATTATTTTACTAGTATCAAACAATAATAGGGACCACAGTACTACAATGTCAAAACAGTGACAACTTTTGCACATACTTCTTTTGCACACACAGTTCAAATATGCACATGGCTCTCATTGCAAACATGGCACTCCTTGTCACTTTACCACTCAAGCACATGTGTGTGCTCAACAAATCTCACCCTGCTGTTCTGGAGGCAGTGTACATTGCAAGCTGAAGCCTGAACTGTGTGTGCGATAGAAGCATGTGCAAAAGGTCTCACTGTTTTGAAATTGTAGTACTGTGGTCCCCATTGCTGTTTGATACTAGTGTTAGGTACCTTGTTTCACTATTTAGTTGACACCACTAGCGCTGTCTTCTAAAGTACTATTTGGTCAATACTCTGGCTGCCAAATATGAGGTGTAGGGGCGGGTTTGGGTGGGGTGGGGGGGGGGGGGCGCACGCTCTCCCCCTCCCCACGCCCCTCCCCCTCCCCAAAAAATGTTTGACCTTGGTTTGAAATAAACCCCAGACTGCTGCATGCACAGGCGGTAGACTCTACATGGTGGGAAGCAGTTTCCAAAAGCAGCTGCACTGACCGTTGGTGTGTAGCGGTGCACTGCAGATGAAACGATCGACTCTGCACGATGTCTACACTTTTGTTCAGATTCCAGGACACGCTCGATGCGTCTTGAGAAAGGCGTGCAGTGATGTGCAGAATGCAGCACTACCCAAGCGGGACTGAAAAAAACAGCTTGGGATCTTCAAGCGCCTCATTGTACAACGGTGTTTTGAGGATGATCCCCCCGGGATTCGAATCATGAATTGGTTGACTTGAAGACTTTTCTGCGAAGTCTCAGCCTCATCCATGGACTAAAAGACGCCAAGCTCTGGCCTGCAGAGCCTGGATGGATTTTTGCAGAGCAATCTTGCGACGGCGTAATTCCTGTTCCAACAGGAAACCGTGGAAGTGATCAAGTCATTGCAAGTTCAATAGATGACTTGCACAAAGATTGTCTGGGTTCGAGATGGGGCTAGTGGACCTTCTGACTCTCACTTTCCGACCTTTGACTTTGAGTTTGAGACTTTCGCTTTTTGCCTGACGAACGCTGAGCTAGTTTTTTGGCTATAGTTGTTTTGATTTGGCTTGCATCGTCATGCGGAAGCGCTGCTCCGCTTCTCAATGCACCAGCAGACGAGATATGGAACTGAGGCTCCCATTCCATACGTTCCTTTCCGAACCGGGAACGCAGAAATATTGATTCATGCCATATTGAGATGAACTTTAATGAGGTGATTGATGTAGTGTACAAGTAACATGGCAGATGATTGTACAATATTTATGTAGTAACTAAGCATGAGATACTGTAGTCTGTAGCCTAGTGTACGTCTGGAAGAAATACCTGTCATGTAATAATTTGTAATCCGTTGGATAGCTAGCAGTGTGACGTACATCGTTACAGTCATGTGCACCATGTCATCTCCCCCCCCCCCCCTGCTCAGCCAAATCCTGGACACGCCACTGTAGTTGGCGCCACTAGCGCTATATTTTAAAGTGCAATTTAGTCAATGCTCTGACCGCCAAAGTGCCAGTAATAAGGACATACCGTAATGTCGCGAATAAAAGCAGTTGCTTATGGCCGTATAAGCCGGGGTTCAAACCATGCTTCTATCCAAGTCATGCTTCTCTTCAAAATATGCTTCTACGTCAAAATCAAAGTCACATTACGTCAGTCCGGTCATCACTCGATAATATGCCAGATTTGAGAATACACAATAACGAAATACAAAATGCAAAAACATGGCAGGGCGATATTTGAGATGCAAAAGTCTGTTCAGATTTGCAATTAGGACATCCAAATCAAGTCAAAATCAAGTTGACGGTATTAAAAAGCAATGAACATGGCAAGGTAAGGAATTCACAACAATTTTGCTCGTGCAAAGACTGAAATCTGCCAGCAACACACCAAAACAAAGATTTGGAAAGCCAGGGTGGAAATTTACACTTACAGTACTACAACAAGATCATCATCGCTATCGGCAGTCTCCATGGTGACATAAGCTACTTCAAGATGAGCAGTTGCAGCAGATTCTTTAGTCAAGAGAGAGTTGGCAGTCGCAGCGGATACAGCGGTCGCAGCAGAGTCGACATCATTGTCGTCGTCGTCTTCACTGGAGGTGGCGCCAGCAGCACCATCATCAGCAGCCACTTCACCAAGAACATTGGCCTCTTGGTCAAACTCTTTTACACAATTGGCTGGCTGCAGCTGTGCAGGCGGCAATGTGAAAAACTCTTCAAGACGTTCTCGGCCATCAGCAGTGGGACGACCTTCCTTGAAGCAGGACACCTGGTCAACAGTGGCGCCAGGAACCTGTCCAAAGCAGGTGAAGAAGTTCTTGATGAGGTCCGGTGACAGGGAACGCCACGACTTCACGATGATGTTGCACAGCTCCGACTTCGTAGTGGCAGGGATGTTGCATGCAGCAGTGTAAATTTTGTCACCTGGTGCCAGCCATTGATCATACAAGTCCCGGATGCTTCTCTTGAAGGGCTTGTTCGAGCTGACATCCGGGGCTTGGACAAGCGGGGTGCATCCACCAGGGATCACAGCACTCCGGATGCGTTTTTGGCGCCTCTCTGCAGTGACGGAGTCGGTAAGATGGCAGCGATAAGAATCCAACACTAGAAGCCTCATTCCCAAGGCCATGGAACCCATCAAACTCTGACGCCAATCAATTGTCAACTCTTTGTTAAACCATCCATTGTCAGAGAATGCTACTACGTTGTCCCACTGGGCCTTCAGCTCCCTGTCCTCTGCTGTCTTGCCCTTGCCTTTGAAGAAGACAAAGGGCAGCCGCTTTGCACCAGACGCAGATGCCGTCAGTGCCACAGTGACATTTTGCTTGTCATGCCCTGTGAGGCCATGCTGATTGTCCTGGCGCCAATTTCTTTGAAAGTCCGGTTGCTAGTCGCATCAAACCAAACGGCAGTCCCATCCATGGCAAAGATGTTGGCAGGGTTTAGATCGTTGTTGTCGGCGAACAGCTTCTTGACAAACACAAGGAAGTCCGTCAACTTGGGGATCAGGTCAGCAGGAGTTCGATGGCTCTGGTGCATCTTCACTCTTGTCATTAGTTGAAGATGCTCCATGAAATTCCTACACCATCCAGCACTTACATTGAACGATTCCTGTCCTCCTTGCTCGTCGTGAATCCGCTTAGCCATTGCCCGGACCGACTTCCGCGTCACTCGTCGACATTGCTGGCGCTCCGCGACGATCCATCCGAACAGCTCATCTTCAAGGTCACACAAAAGCAACGTTTTGCCACCGCCGACTAGGCGTGACCGTGCATGACCACGACAGGTTGTGGATTTTTCTACTCCCTTTAGACTGGCTTCCTTCTGTTTCCAGTGACGAACGATGCTCCCATTCACGTTGTGGAGGCGACTAGCAGCACTGCAGGACGTTTCCTTCGCGGACTTGATGACAGCCAGCTTGAAAGTAAGGCTGTAGTTTTTTTCTCTTTCCTGTCGTCGGTGTTGGCATCTTTGCAGCTATTGTCAGTGAATCCTAGAAGGAAGAATGAGGATCGACTGCTAGGATTGAAGCAATTTTATTCTCCCTAGCTAGCCATGACTGTGACCGTACGGAGAATCGGTATTGCAACAACAACTGCACAGCGGTTTCATTCTACAACGTTGCATGAAGTGTTGCGTGCCCTATGCAGTGGTGCACTCACGATCACGTCCGCGACCACCAAGAAGTCTTCCATGATGGTACACTGTAGGTCTGCAGTGTGGATAGTCTACTGCTCTGGCATGTGACCAGGTTTGTTGGAAAGATGCACAGTGCTATGCAGTGTACTACTACTAGAGTAGAAACCGGGTTAGGGATCCATCTAACTCTGCGCGGACATAGCTGGACTCAGTTGTACAGGGATGGGCAAAAAGGTGTGCAATACGACTTTTTGTGAGTACAGTCAACTTGGCTAATAACGACTGCGGATATAACGACACTTCGCTAATAACGACTGCGGATATAACGACAATTCGCGAATAACGACAGAATTTCCATGCCCAGAGCAAAGTCCCATCTAACTGTATACATTTAACTTCGGATACAACGACTATCTGAATAACGACAATTCGCAAATAACGACATGCTTTTAGTGCCTCAAGGTCATATTCACTGCTTGAATAACGACTTTCTGGGCTTTTGACAGCTATTTCAAGTACTTGTCATGCAGAAGTACCAGAACCCATGCCATGCATGGCGATGGATAAAGGCACAATGCAAGAAGATGCAGCCAGGGGGGGGGGGGGGGGGGTGCTTTTATTTTTTGCTTCTAAATACATGTTGGATTGATCAGCACAGCTACAATGTCCTGTAGTTGTACAATGTACATGTCATGTACATTGTACCTGATTGTACAGTGATCATCATACATGTCATGTACATGATGGTACAGAATCATCATACATGTTGTCATGTACATTGCACATGTCCCTGTAGATGGCTCCAAAACTTGCGAAAGGCTAATTTTTCCAATCTATTTCCCTTCCATATCGACTTTATAGTTCCTTTCAATTGTAAAACACAATAATAGAAAAGCT